GGTTAGCAACCCAACATGTAACCACTAGGCCACCAGGATTCCCCAAAGCTCCCTCAACAGAGGCACTGAAACAAGGCACTCTGCCAGTCAGAGCAGGATTCAAGTTCGCATCTGAAGACGGGGCCAGACACATCAACCGAGCCTCACTGAGGGTGAAGAGACTATCTCAGGAGAAAGCGAGCCGCCTTCAAATGCATCTCCCAGACCGAGCAAGCTGGACTCCGCTGGACCACCCTCCCCTCCCGCGGCTCAGATTGTTGAGGAAATGTTGCCTGTCGGACACTTCCTTTGGGGAAGAGCCCTGCACACACGAGCCGACCGCAGGCGCTGGGAAGTCCTGTGGGAGCCACCAGTACTGGGTGGGACGTTTCTGTTCCAACAGAAAGTTTCCGAAACTTGTTCAAAGCACAGACCACTGTTTGAAAACACATCGGAGGCTCGAACAGGACAAAAGCTGCAGCTTGGGAGAACTGGCTGTTTTCAAAGTCGTTATTTTCATGCTACAGAAAGTTGTGTTCTGGATAGAAACCCAGGGGTACCAAGGACCACCCACTCCCGAGAACCGTAACCATGGTTTTCTCTGGGACAGGGGTAGGAGGGAGACTCACCTGCCAGGGCATCCCTATAAGCTTCTAACCTTCTTTTAAAAGAAACTTACAAGACTCTTAAAAACTCTATGATCTTATGACCGATAACAGAAAAAGCAAACCAGCTGGCAATGAGTTGATCGCCGCCATGGGGACCCCACCTAAGTCTGAGTAGGGCTGCGGTCTCCATCAACCTCCATCAAGCTAGCAGCTGGGCACATTAACCATCTGAACCACCCCGGGGATGGTTACAGCCTGAGTGCCTCTCAGCAAAGACATTTCTCTGAGCCCCTTCTCAGACTCCACCCTCGGGCCACTCGCAGTATGTCCGACAGGCTCTCCTATTTTCAGGCTGGACCAGCTCACACCAGCTCCAGCATCTCCCTGAGACTCTCAGACATCAAAGGGCACCCGCCCCTGCCTCCAGATTCTACCAGCCTCTCCAAGAACTCGGCGCTACAGGCAAGACAGCCGCTCCCTCCGCAGTGGGAAGGCCACTTACAGGGTGGTCGATTTTAATCAGTGCGATGTCGGCCTTCTCATCCACGTCCTTGATCTTGGCTTCGTAGGTGGCCCCGTTCCTCAGCTCCACTTTGACTCGGTGCTTGTTGGTGACCACATGGGCGTTGGTCACTATCAGCCCATCTTCGGACACGATGAACCCAGACCCGCTTGCCACAGGCACCTCCCGCTTGGTAAAGGGAAGCCTAAAACCCGAAGGAACACACAGGTGAGCCTGGGACACCATGAACTTAACTCTATGACACACTGACGCCATTTACTTCTGTAAATATAATTTGTATATCGGGTGCAAGGATCAATATAGGGATATCATTTATACATTAATTTTAAATATGGCCACTAACCCCAACTTCTGCAGTTTGAAACCACCAGCTGCCCCTTGGGGATGAGGATTTCTACTCCTGTGGAGTTACAGTTTCAGAAACTCATGGGGCAGTTCTGCCCTGCCCTACAGGGTCTCTTGACAGGGTCAGAATCGACCTGACAGCTGTGAGTGAGTGAGCGAGTGAGTTCAGTCTTGGAAACCCACAGGGACAGTTCTAGTGCATCCTACAGGGTCACCAGGAGCCGGCATGGACCTCGTGGCAGTGAGTGAGTGCTCCTAACACAGGAACTAAGCTTTATGTCCCGTGTGGCCGACATCCAAAAGTGCACTTGCGTGCCGCTGGTCACCTTGTCTCAAGGGACCCTGCAGGACGGAAGCAGGCACACAAGGGTTCCCTGACCGACATCTTTAGGCTCAGATTACTGAGTCTTTCTCCTGCAGACTCTCTCTCTCTTAACATTTTAATAAATCATTTTATTGGGGGCTCTTACAGCTCTTATAACAGCCATGTGTCAAGCACATTTGTACATATGTTGCCATCGTCCTTTTCAAAGCATTTTCTTTCTACTTGAACCCTTGGAATCAGCTCCTCATTTTTTTCCTCCCTCCTCCACCCTCCCACCCTCATGAACCCTTGATAACTTATGAATTATTATTATTTTCATATCTTATACCATCCGTTGTCTCCCTTCACCCACGTTTCTGTGGTTCATCACCTGGGGGGGTGTTATGCATCAATCATTGTGATCGGTTCCCCCTTTCTCTTCCCACCTCCCCCGACCCTCATGGTACCGCTACTCCCACTATTGTTCCTGAGGGGTTTATCTGTCCTGGATCCCGTGTGTCAAGGGCTCTTATCTATACAGCTTACATGCTCTGGTCTAGCTAGATTTGTAAGGTAGAACTGGGGTCATGATAGTGGCGGCGGAGGGGGGAGGAAGCACCAAAGAACTGGAGGAAAGTTGTATGTTTCATCAGTGCAATACTGCACCCTGGCTGGATTGTCCCTTCCTGGTGACCCTTCTGTGAGGGACGTCCAGACGAAGAGTACCGCTGATGGATGCCCAGGAATCATGTAGTCAGCATCACTACGTTGCACACGTGGGCATGCTGACGTACAGCACACTGTGGTGCCGTGGTCACAGCATGTGGCTCTTCTGGCCATGGTTGAGGTGCCTCCCACTGCATGACTTCTTCCTGACGGGGGAAGGGGCTGGGGGATTAAACCATTCGGTTGCAAGGGACCGTTAGCAGAGCTTGTCGGGACAGTCGCAACCTGGAAATCTAAAGTGCTGATTGATCCATTTTGTCACCCTCCGGGATGTTATCCAGCCAGGGTGCAGCACAGCACCAACAGAACACGCTGCACTCCTCGAGTTCCTGAATGCTTCCTCCCCACTGCCGTGACTCAGGTCTGCCTTACAGATCCGGCTAGACTGGACTACACACATCGGGACAGATTAGAGCTCTCGATACACGGAATCCAGGACAGATCAACCCTCGGGAACAGTCGTGGGAGTAGCGATACCATGAGGGTGGGGGAATGGTCGAGGAGGGGGAAGGGAGGGAAAGGGGGAACCCATCACAAGTTGGATCTATAGCCGCCCCCCTCCAGAAGGGGACAAATAACAGAAATGTGGGTGAAAGGAAACAACAGACGGTGGAAGATAGGAAATAACAATATATAATTGATCAAGGATTCATGAGGGTGGGAGGGTGGGGGAGGGAGGGTGAAAAAGAGGAGCTGATACCAAGAGCTCAAGTGGAAAGAAAATGCTTTGGAAATGATGATGGCAACCTATGTACAAATACGCTTGATACAATGAATGTATGGATGTTATAAGAGTCCCCAGTAAAATGATTTTTTTTCAAAAGGGGGGGGGTACAGTCCTGTAAACTCCTGGGGAAGTTCTAAGGGGTCACCCTGAGTCCGAATGGAATGAATGGAATGGCAGTGAATTTGAGAGGTGGTGCAGCATTGCCCCTGGGGGGCTTCCAAGACTGTAGCTCTTACTGGGAGAAAAAGCCTCCTCTTTCTCCCACGTAGTGGCTGATGGCTTTAAACTGCTGACCTTGAGTTACCACCTTGGCAGTGAGTTAAAATCTCAGGATATCACAAGCCTCGGGATACAACTGAAGTTAAGAAGTTTAAAGATGACAATTTAGCAGAGCCTTGTATAACTTTTGCCAGGCTTCCTTCTCCCTTTTCTGTACCTGAGAGGCACAGGCCTAAGGCTTGCTTCACCTGATCAGAACTGCTCGCTCGCTCTCTCTCCAGTTGGGAGCACATTCTGTGGTCTTGTTTGCCTGGTTGTTGCTTGTGTGGTCCCCATTTCTCTCCTACACCCTTCCGAAAAGCTTTGGTTTTTCACCACGACAACTGAAGTGAGTCACACGGGAAAACTTCCCAAGGAAGAAGTGCTCAGTTTTCAGCAGGACTAGAAATGTGGGCACTGTCGGGGGTCTCCCAGTTGCTCTGATGTTTCACGAGGGGCTGCCTGGACCCAGAGGGAAGCCCACAGGTTTCAAAGAAGAACCGCCCCCCCACCCAACTCTTTACTTGCGATACAGCTCGATGTGAACCACGGCCGGGGCAATCTTCTCCACCACGTCAGCAATGAAGTTGTACTTGTGACGCAAGCTATTGGGGTCTTCCTGTCCTGGGGAAAAGCAAAGAGAGGGCACCGTGAGCTGCAGCCGCCGAGAGACACGGGGTGGGTCGGAGGGAAGAAGAAAGGCCCGCTTAGCAGTCTCTAAGGGCAACACCCTGGGTCTGACCTGGGTAGCAAGAGCCCCTCCAGCTTTGGGGGCATAACCATTCGGCCAGCGCAGCATGCCCTGCACGCCCAATGTAAGCTATCTTCATGACTGGGCTTCTTTCCTCTCAACTGCGTCCCCACCAAAATGCTGAGCCAGGCACACCGGCAAGTACCAACATCATGACCTGCTATCACGTCGATGCTAACGCATCGGTAACTGCTTAATGGAGTTGAAAGCCCAGTATTTCTCCCAAAGAGCTGCTGGTGGCTTTGAACAGCTGACGGTGTGCATCGCAGCCCAATGAGTAGCCACTACACCACCAGGGCAGCAAATCCCAACAGCATGCCTCCCAAGGGTCACTTAGGTATGCCAGCATTCTAACTCCCCAACACCGCCACTAAGCAACCTTCCTCAGTGTCTTCCAGAACTGAGAGCCGGGTCCATGCTATGCTGCTGGGATCAGAGGAGACGGCCATCGTCGGTCCTAAGAGACTCCTAAGAGACTCGGTATGAAAAAGCATTAAAGTGAAGGCAACCGTGACCTGTCCTCCCCACCGATGGCACAAGGCAAGTTGAGGCCAACATCTGTCACCTGAACACGTTCCCCTACACACCTGACATTCATCCCAACCCTGGATGTCTCATCCCAGGCAGAACAACACTAGCGATGCCTCGAGACTATGGGAAAAGACTCAGAAAGCCAAACTCCCTGCCATTGGATCAACGCTGACCCATAGCCACCCCCTGTGGGCTCCAAGCCTTGTCACTGTTGACGGGACTAGAAAGCCCAGTCATTCTGCCAAGGAGCTGCTGCTGGTTTTGAACTGCCAACCATGTGCATTGCAGCCCAACAAATAACCACTAAGCCACTAGGGCTCCACGTGAAAAAAGAAGAAGAAATGAGCCCCAGTGGCATAGTGGTTAAGTATTGGGCTGCTGGCCTCAAGGTGGGCAGTTCAAAACCATTGGCCAGCTCCGAGGAAGAACAATGGGGCTTTCTACTCCTGTAAAGAGTGGCCGTCTCAGAAACCCACAGGGGCCGTTCTGCCCTGTCCTCGAAGGCTGCTGTGAGTCGGCACTGATGTGATGACAGTGAGTTTGGTACAGCCGTGCAGAGCAGCTGCTCAGAATCAACCTTACATTCAAATCTTGGCGAGTTTTCCTTTTGATAACACACGCACTGATTCCTGAACGCCTGGGTGGCGAGCACGTTCAAAGCCACTTCAGACGGCGCTGCCCCACTTCCCCGAGGTAGGGCAGTCCATGCACCATGGCACAGAATCCAGAAATGGGCGACTGGTGATTGTGGTCACAGCACGGCCTGCCGACACCCCTTCACAAGTCTCCTTTGGCTAAAGGAGGCTCCAGGGCCATGTTCTGACCGAAGCTCCTGGCCACTCTCATGAGACCTCCATTAACGTTCACATTTGAAAGCCAGTGGCTTCTGAAAGCTCTGCCCTCCAGCAGGAGTCCTGACTCCATTCTGAGTCACGGCCAAGTTCAGACCCCCTTGAGCCCTTTGTGTTGTTTCCCTGTGGCTTGCTGACCGTTAAACCGGCAATGCGGCTGCGCCTAGACAGGTCCCGGGCAAGCCCAGGGAGAGGCAGTTTGCCCTCAGGTGTCTCACAAAGAGCTGGAGAATTTGCCTGGGTGTGTCCTGGATGATCTCACAAAACGAGTTGCATGCTATCTTGTTTAAGTTAAAACCTGGGGTTCTGGCCATGATCATGAGTTACACCCCACCACTATCTAGAGACCCCGGAAGCGATCTGTAGCTTTCTTTGAGCCTGAGACGATGCACGTACCCCAGTCATGGTCCTTTCCCTGTTTCTGCAGCCCTGCCTGAGACACGATGGACTGATCTTGTGATGGTGGCCTTTCTTTGTTCTCTGTCCTGAGGATGAAAACCGTGGCTGGGAGTCCACGGACTCCATCGCCCTCTGCCTGCTGAGGGTCTCCCTCATCGGGATGATCGTGTGATTGTGTCTTGGGCCAGCTTCGGACTTAATGAAAGGGTCTCTCCGGGACACGTTTGGCACTGGGAATTTTTGCCCCCAGCAAGATCTAAAGGCAGAATTTGAGAGGGCGCTTCCAGAAACCGCTTCCAACATCTTGGCAGAGCAATCTTGTGCCTGCTGAATCTAAACATTGGAATTGGGGCTTGAATCTCCCGTCTTTTTTATTTCATTCTACAGGAACTCATTGTTTTCATAGTCTATAAAAGGATGGGTCCGAGATGGGTCAGAAATAGAAGCTAAGAAATCCGCCGTTCATTTCCCACACGTGGTCTGTCCCGGTCGGGCCTTTTCCGCCCCACTGCAGCCCACTCGACAGAATCCACAGCAAAAGCCTGCAATTTAAAAGGAGGCCTGTTCCCAGCACAATTGTCCTCCATTCACCTTGGGCCTGGGCACTGACCTCCAGTCCCTCCCCCACACACACCACGCACACACGGGCATATACAATATCAACCCACAGGCACACATGAGGGGGCTTCACACAATTTGCTGGGAAACTCCATTATATCTTCTATTTTGCTTTTCCATGACCTTGGTGAAGCCCCTTCATATGCACGCACAGACGTACAACCAATGAACCCATGGTACACACACATATGCACATACAGACATACACATAGGCACATGCACACATGCCCGAATGTATGTCCACACACCTACACGTGGGCACACACGTGCCTCCCTGCATCTCCCACACCCCTGGGGGAGATGTTGACAAGTCTGGGCCCCGGGTGGATAATCGTGCCCAGCCAACACAGCAGCAATGACCCAGAGCAGAGGTGGGCTGCCAGGGAGAGGCCCCAAAGCTGAGCGTCAGGGCCTTCCACTTGGGGCCCTCTGGGAGGGGCCCCAGCCTAGCTTTCAGCGGTCAAAAGCATTTGGAGAATTTGCTGACATGAAATATTTAAACTGCCGGGGGGTGGGGGTGGGGGCAATCTCTTTGCTCCTGGCCACACCGGCTAGCTGCAGGCGCTGTGGAATGTGGCGAAGTGGGAGGTAACACTCGGGAGTCACTTTGGGTCTAATGGAACACAGGTTAAGTGCTCTGAAATCACTTCTACGTCCAGCTAGGTCCATCCGTCTATCCCGGTCTCCCAGGAACACGGCACTGCCCGCTGTGCCACGCCTGCTGGACGGACCTGCAGCTCTGTCCTGGACGGTACCCTCCAGTCCACTGTAGTCAAGTCTAGTCCAGCTCCCCGTCACTGTGCAGAGTAGAGCAGACCCGCCCGCTCGGGGCTGCAGCATGGCAGTGTTTGCAGAAGCAAGTGGGTACATCTCTCTCCCGGGGAGAGGCTGGTGGGTTCGAACCACTGACTTTTCAGTTAGCGACCCAGAGCTTAACCATTGTGCCCCCCAACATTCCATGTACCATGTGTACCCAAAGCCCACTGTGGCGGACTCGATTCCCATTCGCAGCAAGGCTGGAAATCTTTATAGGGGCAGGCAGCCTCATCGTTCCCACTGGAGGCCAGCTGATGGATTTGAACCACTGACCTTGGGGTTAGCAGCCCAAGGCTTACTTGAAAGCAACACCAAGGCTGTCGCTGACAGGGAAGTGGAATTGTGTGGATAATGGAGAAATGTGCCAGAGAAAAAGCAGAGTTCGTATCAATCATAATAGAGTAAATAATAAAAAGTCATTCTATCCTTTCCACAGGAAATAGTACAGTCACTGTCACCTGAAAAGGTGAACAAAGAGTGTGCAGTCAAAAAAAAACTCAAAGGAGGAAAGAACCATTCATAAAAATGTCCTACTGCAACTCAGGCATCAAAGACCGAGACAAAAAACCATCAATGTGAAAGAGGGGGAGTGCGGAGAGGAGACCCACAGCCCATCTGCAGACAATTGGACATCCCCTTATGGAAGGATC